GCTGTTCGCCGGGTCGATCAGAGAGAACATAGCGTACGGCATGGATGAGCCGACGGAGGGCGAGATCGAAGACGCGGCGAGGACGGCCAACGCGCATGACTTCATCAGCGGCCTCAACGACGGCTACGACACGTTCTGCGGGGAGAGAGGGGTGCAGCTGTCGGGCGGGCAGAAGCAGCGGATCGCGATCGCAAGGGCGGTGCTGAAGAATCCGGTCATACTGCTGCTGGACGAGGCGACGAGCGCCCTGGACAGCCAGTCGGAGAAGGTGGTGCAGGCAGCGTTGGAGAGGGTGATGGCGGGGAGGACGAGCGTGGTGGTGGCGCACAGGCTGAGCACCATTCGCAACTGTGACCTCATTGCGGTGATGGAGAAGGGGGTGGTGGTGGAGAAGGGGACGCATGCCTCGCTGCTGGCCAAGGGGCCCAAAGGATCCTATTGTAGCTTGGTTAGCCTGCAACAAGGGAACAAGGACGTATGAACGCGGCTACGGACGAGCTATTGACTTCGATTGGGATGACAAAATTGATAGCAACCGGATCTTAATAGATGATAGTATTTGCTCTATTAGTTATTAGTCAACAAATCCGTGAATTAGTTGGCCTCGGTAGCATTAAGTTCCATAGACTTTTAAAAATGGTCCCATGGTTTCAAAATTATTATCAATCACTCTTTTGTTTTCAACAATTCTTCGATGAAATTCTTATATTCAAAATTTTTTTTGTGTCTCTTCACTTTTTTTTTTGTCTCGAATATTCACTCAAACTTATATTCATAAGGTTGGCAATGAAAATGAGTAATATGGTTGGCTATGAAAATAAGTGATGCCATCGATGACACCGCAACGATCGAATCATAATCTCATCATATTTTTTGACATACTTTTAAAGCGATCGTGTACTTCAAAAAAAAGATTGACGATAGAAAATTCAACCATAATATCATAATGTGTTTCAACGATAATATTAAATCGAAGATAGAATGTTAGGATAGTGTATAAAAGAGATGAAGACTTGTTAGCTTCTCAAGAGAGCTAAGAGAGATAGTGTATAAAAGACAATGACGATGGAGACATGATCAACCATGGTAAATAATAGACATTTCTTATACTGTGCAACCACGGTAATATCCATAGGAGGAATTGCTGTGGTTTGTGGAACTCATCAAAGGGGTGGATAAAAGATCAATAGAGAGAGATAACCTGAGATCTTTTGGAACGCTCCTAATTAGTAGAAAGTTATAGATTGTCCAATGTACAATTCTATACGTTTCTCTATAAGAATGTAAGTAACTTTCATAGAATATTTGTTACATAATCTAATTTATAATTAATAAACACACATGACATTAATAACATAGCTCAATCCATTTCAATCCACCTATAGGATATTTAATAGATACAACAACTTTTTAAAAGTCACAACATTCTAATCCAAATTATATTATATATATATATATATATATAAAGGAATCTCATTTTCTATTGCATAACTCTAAAAAATTAACAGTTTATCATATATGTAAATCATAGCTCAAATAAATACAGTGACTCACATGTCACTAAAATTTATCATAATAAATTATCTTTAAAATATATTAAATCTATATACATTTAACGTATGCTTTGTGAATATGTATAGATATCAAATACTCTTTATGCTTATATAAAAACTTAAACCTTATAGGCATTTCAAAATCATAAATTGCTAATATAAAATACTTAAATACTTTTCAAAACAAAATTCATGCATTCAAATCAAATAAAATGTTTATGATATCTTTTGAAGCAAGATACATTTAAATATATTTTTATGTTGAAAGTATAAGTATAGCTAATGTCACATATCATGACATAAAACATTATAGTACAAAGACTAGATGTTTATATAAATATAGCTAAGAGTTTATAAATATAAATATAGAAGTTAGGAGCATAAATATATCCCTGTGACAGAGATCGGAATCATATTTAATCTTTATGGTGTAAGTAATATATATATATATATATATATATCAAAGCTCAAAAAAATTATTTTCTAAATAAATACTAATCTTTAACCCTCTATCATAGTTATACTCAATTTACAACTATCATCTCATGAAAAATAATATATCAATTACATTTTATAAATCAAGAGTTTAGAAAATTCTTTTTAAACATCTTTTCAAATATTATATTTTTTTTAATCATCATCATATAAATCCTTTTGCAATGCTTTTAGATAATAAAAGAACTTGTGATTTATACAAATTATTATTATTTATAAATGTCAAACATATGTATTAATATTTTTAAAAATAAATTAGACATAATCATCGAATACTTACCCTTGTCGCATACCCTCAATACCGATATATTCTGATTATGTTTTATTTTTCCAACATCTTCATTTTTCATTCTTTTATTTCCTTAATGATATAAATATCTAATTAATTAAAAAATCAAGATTCCTCAATCTATAATTTAAAACATAAATCTAATTGATAAAAATATAAAAGATCTCAAAATCATACCTATTAAAATTTTTAAAATATAAACCTAATTAATAAGAATATAGGAGATCTTAAAATCATACCTTTTGAAAATTTTCTTGAATCATTTGACATAAAAAAGAATCGCTTTCCTTTTTTTTTTCTCTTTCTTTCTTGCAATGTTACTTTTCTCATTCATCTTCTCTGGTCACGGCAGATCACTCCTCTTTCTCTTTCTGTCCTCTCCTTCCTCTGCTATTCTTTTCTTCTTCCCTATTTCTTTCTTCTTCTCCCTTCTCCTTTTCTTCACTTCCCTATTTTTTTTCTTTTTTTTCTCTTGTCCTCATCTTCCTTTCTTTTTTTTTCTTCTTCTTCTTCTCTAACTCCCTCTTTTCTCTCTCCTACACGCTCCCTCGCAGCCTCTCTTTCTGTCTCTCTCTCGTGAGAGATAGTGGAAAAATATTTTTCATGCACTTTTTCATTTAGTTTCTAATCATATATTTATATTTAGGTCCTTAGGTAAATTTAGAGATATTACATCTACTTTCGGCGCAAGCAAAGTCAACGCGGATCCCATGAAGACCTCGACGAGGTTGACAGTGTCACAATCTGATATATTTTTTTTTATAGGATTATAGTATGTATCAAGAGAAATATTATTTTCTTAATATATATAAATTATAGATATTTATTATAATTTATTTATTCATTAAATATAAATCAAAAGTAAACATAAGTTTTATTGAGAAATATAATGTTATCCACTTAAAAATAAAATCTAATTCGAAGATTAGAGAAATGTTTTCTATTCACTAGAATAAATAAAAAATTATTTTAAAAATAAAAAATAAATTTTTTTTTAATAATATTGAGTATGAACCCTTATAAATCAATTGTAAAATAAATATATATTTGAAAGATAATCATCAAATACCAAAAGTAGCACTCCCCACGAATGAAAAAAATTTATCCTATAATATAATATGAGTTTGTATTCTTTCAATAGTTGATGGAAAATAAACTTGTATCGTACTCCACGAGGATGAAATAATATATTAAAATATCTTAATTTATCTTTTAAATATTATTAATATTAAATAATATCAATTAATACTTAATTGACCTGAGTCCTACTTTAATCGATTTAATTGAACTCGATTTAATTATAACATAATTGAATTTATCTCTAATCCTTATTTAATCGATCTAGAACCATCTTACATTTATATAATTTAGATCATATTTAGGTTCAATTCAGATTAAATATACTTGAATAAGTCAAATCGATTCAAAATTATCTTGAATCCATCTAAACTAATTAAATCTAATTAGGTTCAACTAATATTTGAGTTAAAATCAAACAAAGTATGAGCAATAAGTTAGACTACATAACATTGTGTTAAGTTAGGTTAGCCCTTGATCATGTGTACTCTAAATGATTGTATATGTATCGTACAGTCACCCATAGCATCATGCATTATATATAATTGCCTATGTTGGACTAGGTTTAACTAACCAACGGATCAAGTCTAGCCTTTTGGCTAGACTTTGTCTGCAGTTGCAACGTAACCGACGGGTTGGACTTGGTTGATTTCAATCCAAATTCTAATCAAATTTAAAATATTACATCATCAAATTATAATCAAAATATTTATTCATTAGTATTGAGCCATTAAGATATAATAAATAACAATAGATAGACTTGTATAAAAAGAAAATAGCATTCATAATAAGTATTGTATAATATGAATAATTATAACATGTTTTAATCCTAAAATAAATTTCTAAACTTTAAAGGAATTAATTTTTTTTAAATTTCATATTTTAATATGAATAAGTATAACATATTTTAATCCAACGATAAAATTTTATACATTTAGAGAAATAAAAGAATATTTTTGAACTACATATAACATGAATAATTAAAATATATATATTAAAAATAAAATTTTAAATATTCTTTTTTTTTTAAAGAAAGTCAAGAAACCTATCTTTTGTCAATATGATACAACTCCTAATTTCTCATGTTACTAACTCTGATGAGTAATGAACAAGATAAATCTCTCTCTTAAATAGGAGAGGAGCCCTCCACATAAGGTAAATTTTTATTTTTATACTTATTTAATTTTTATTTAATTTATTGATAAAAAAATAATATCATTCTATTTGAAATGTTAAATAGTTATTTTTTAATTTTTATTAATAAGAAAAAAAATAAAAAAAATCATGCTTAAATAGATGATTTGATTATAGAGAAAGTAAGTAGATACCGAATGACTTGTTTGTTGATTGTGAAGATGTTCACTAGAAACTCTTGAGAAAGATTTGAAGTCAAGAGTCAAAGCTAATATTCCGTATATAAGTGAATGATGATTTTATCCTTCACTTAATTATATATTTAGCACATAATATGACATATAGAAGATTCCATTAAAGAAATAGACAACGTCATTAAAAATAGAATAATTATAATAATTTTAAAATTATGGATATCTTAATATAATTTTTAAAAGTTGAAGAACCCTAATAACGAGGGGTCAAAGATAAAGAGAAATATATAATTAGCCAGATAATATTTGGGACAATTTAGTGTATTAATTTGTGCATTTCCTTTTTCACAGTTTCTCTGTTAAGTTTTTTTCTAATAAAAAAATATTACTACTAATCAAGGGAAATACAAAATTGCTTCTTGTGTAACATAACAAAAACTACAATCGAAATAGCCACTCCGCTCTCCAAACCTCCTCTTCCTATTATATTTAGGCGATCAATTTATTGCTTCCCAAAAATAGGAGATATATATATATATATATATATATATATATATATATATATATATATATATATATATTTCAAAAGAGTTCATATACAATTCACAACACTAAGAACGATAAAAAAAGAAGCAGTTTTCTTTCATAGAATTTTGATGGGTTAGTAACGAATGTGGACACGAGTGACGTCAACAACCACCGCCTCCGCGACCCCACCAAGCACAGTCGCCGCGACACATTGCCTTGGTAAAGAAACCCTCGATCAAAATTATGCTTCCGAATAATAAACCCAAATTTACTTACATGACCTTCATATATGAAACTAATCTATAAATTATCTTTCCTCCGAAATACTTTAATTATCTTTCCTCCGAATAATAAACCCGAATAATAATTTATCTTTCCTCCGAAATACTTTAATTATCTTCATAT